GGCGGTTGGGAAGCGGGGACGGGGCGGTTGGGAAGAGGCAGGGCTGAGGCGGTTGGGAAGCGGGGACGGGGCGGTTGGGAAGCGGGGACGGGGCGCGGTACCGCGGGTACAAGCTGGCGAGGAGGGACTGGGCAGGACAGGGAGGGACAGGCGGCGCCCGCGGCCCCAGCACCCACCGAAGAGGCTGCTGCTGAAGCCGTCCCAGACGCAGCCGGCGGCGTCCCACACCCAGCGGCTCCTCAAGCAGGACATAAAGGTAAGGCTCACGCCGAAGACGGACACCAGCAGGTCGCTGAGGCTGATGTTGACGAGGAACAGGTTGGTGGGCGTGCGGAGCCGCTTGAACTTGTAGTAGAGCACCAGTACCAGCAAGTTGTTGCACAAGCCCAGCATGCCGATGGTGGCGACCAGCAGCGCCAGCAGCTCGTAGGTGCCGGCGCTGAAGAGGGGCCGCTCGCCCGGCACCTCCTGCTCGGGCGCCGCGGGCGCCGGGCGGCCGGAGGTGCCCGTGCCGTTCCCCGCGGGCATGGCTCGGGCCGGAGCGGGGCTAAGCGTCCCGGCCCGCTCCCAGCCCCATCGCGCAGCGCCGCTCCGGGCGGGAGGAGGAGTTCCCGCTGCCTGCCCGCCCACGGAGGGCGCGCCCTCGAGTGGCTTCGCCCTCGCCTGCCCCGGGGCGTGCCCGGCCCCGGCGTGGCCCCTTCTAAGCAAACAGGTCTGCTGATCCTGTTCCTGGGTGAGCAGCCCGGTGGGCCGGGATGTGGCTGTTGTTTCCTCTTCCTTAAAGGTCCTCTGTGCGCTTTGGCTGGGCCACGGCTGCCGCGAGCAGCGCTTCCCTCCCGGGGACCGCGTCTGGGCAGACCTGCTCTGCGGCCAGCTCCGGGAAGAGGTAGAACCGATATTTAGCTTTCTTCCCCAGATGTCCTTCCCATGAAGACTGCTGTTATGGCAGCAGTGTCTTCTCAGGAGGTTTCCCGCAGCGCTCTCAGCTTGGCTCTAGCAGTTTGAGCACCACGAAGCGGCCCGGCAGCACCATGGACCGTGCAAACCCGTGGTGTGAGCGAGCGCTCTGTCAGCCGTGGGGCAGGCAAGACACCGCGCTCTGCACCGTGAAGTCGCCGATTTCCTGCCTTTGTCTCCGGTGTGTGTAGTACAGGCATACGGTGCTGCTTGTGTACAGCTCCAGCCGCTGCTAGTCACAGTGTTGCCCTGGGCCCCAGCTGTGTGTGGTGGCTATGCTGTCTCCAAACCCAACCCACCCCAGCGTTTGCTCACCATGGCTCTACACCCAAAACACTTTGCCAGACCAAGCATTGGTTTTCCTCACAGGAAGACCTAGTTTGTTTGCTTTAATATGTGTTGATAGGTGACAGCCTTCTTAAGGGCACAAAGAAAACTTTCAGTTTAAGTCTATTCTAAACTTTAGTTTAAAAAAAATCAAATGTGAAAGCAAAAGAATTTTAATGTTTTACTGGGTATATGTCTTGTTAAAAAATAGCTGGTTTTTTTCTTCTCATACACAGTGTTACTAAATGATCTAGACTAAGCGTGAACTGAGACTGAAAACGTGGATGGTTGAGGTAGGTTTGATGTCTTTCAAAACAAACCTATGTACAAATTATGGGCTTCTCATGACAGCGTATTTTATATGACAAATTACTGCTGTAATACAAGGCAGTAGGAATAAAGTCATAGGTCAGAAAAACACTGGTTAAAGTATCTATTCTTACTGATGTTAACTTTATTTATGATCCATGTTGTTAAATCTCTCATATACTGATGTAATCACTAATTTAAACTTAGTTTTAACAGCTAGTTCAGTCTATTTCTTCATCACCAGTCAACAGGGCTTTTCTCACTACAAAGAGCAGCTTCCTTTCTCAAAATCACTTATATGTTTTTACCATAAAAACTGTATTTCCAGAACACATGACCTTCCAAAATTTCTAGTAATAGACCACAGTACTTAAGCATCAGTTTTAGGGAAAGCATAATTTTTTCTTCATCCACAAAAGAAATTTAACTGTGCATGACAGACCATGTGCAAAATTATTATGTCAATGCACAGTTATGGGTTTGTTTAGGACAGTCACTGCATTTTAAAAGTCTAACAATGGCATGACTGTACCAAATTAATACTACACCTCATTGAGAACAAGACATCTCTATCTTCTGCCTCTAAAGGAAAATCTTAAATTGTGCATCTTTTTATCTGTGCAAAATGAAAAGCGAGAAAAGGTGATAAGAAGAACCGGAAAAATGTAGTGTAATTATTAGTACGTGCCAGTCAACATAGTGTCCATTGGCAGATTCCATTATACACTTAGAATTTCTAAGAGGTATTTCACTACATCACCTGTCAGAAATACTGCCTCTAGATGTCTTTGAATTTATAACCTATAACTTGCATTTCATAAAGATCGTATATCAGAATTCCTGGTTTGGGCTTTTTTTGTGGCAAAACTATATAGATCCATAGATGTGCAATCTCTCCAATGCTTTATTTGCAAAGGTCACTTTATTAATACTGTCAGGTTGCTAATGTTATTCAAGTAGTCTTGGATACTTCATGAGCAGAGTTCCATTTGTCTTCCATGCACTGTCACTTCTCATATGAGGCACAACAAAAATGCAGTTTTGTTGTGTCATCAGGTCAAAGCTGGAAACAGAACCCTGACCCCAGTTCTAGTCTAGATTCTGTTTTACCTAATCCACCCTAGAACCAATGCAGCTATTGTTTTAATAAACTAATTAATTCTTTAGTCAATCCTTTTCTACTGCAAAAAGGGTTTTACCTTTACTTTTACCATTGCATGAAAGGATAGATCAGAACCCTAAAAGTGTATGTGTGTGACTTACTGGAAGTGCATCAAAGTACTAAACGTGTGTTGCTGAGCTCATGAGATTAAAAATGTACTACAAGCAGGAATAGAAGGTCCCCAGTCCTGTACTACAAAAACAGTCTCTGAAACTCCAAAAGGCTTCATAGATCTCTTCTGCAACAGTCCTTGTAACATGTCTGTTATGCACAATTCACATGGGGTAGAAGCATGCATAGGCTGTAAATTTTCAGGTGGCCAACATATGCTTACATGTGCACAAGACAAACCTTAAAACCCAGCCTTGGAACTAATCATTCACAAGTACAAAGTCTGCAGATGTCTAGGACTATCTTCAAAAGTTTATAATATTTAGTTATTTGGAATGCTTCAGCACAGCAGAGCACTGAGTGTCACATGTTAGAGCTGAAGAATCTGAAGCAGAGTAAAGAAACTTTCAAAGTCAGTGCTACTCTCTAAGCTTTTGTAGAAATACAAACCACAAATGTGACTCCCAGTTGTAACTGCACCATTAAAAATGTCTGGTGTTTTGCAGTAAGAACACTGTGGGGTGGAAAAAGAGTGTTTTAAGGCATTCAAGAGACCTATTTCATTTTATGTTCACTGACTTATGTGTTGCTTTCACTCATTTTCACTGTTCTCTGTCTTTTGCTAGTGTACCTTTGAAGTCACAGGCTCTTTCCCATCTTTCCTGACAGAGAGTGAGCAGGAAAGTCTTCTGTCTGTATTAAATACATTTGTTCCAGGAGTCAGATAATGCTGTGGGTTTCATGCCTGTTTTGAACTTTGTAAGCTTATTATTTCCAAGGGCATGGTATAGACTCAGAATGCAGGCTGCTCAAAACCAAACCAAACCAAACTAAAACTTCCCAAAAAACTCTGGCTACCTAGCTTCAGCTTTTTTGTTTTTTGTGTTTCTTTTTACAGTGTTCTCCTGGAATATTTTATTTTCTTACATGTTATTTTTGATATTCTTTAGCCTTAGAGGCAGATAAAAGCTGAGTGATTATTCACTGTATCTATATATAGCTGCAGGGTATATCCACAGAACAAGTGTGAGTGTGGACAGAAGAAAGCTTTCATCTGTTGCCAACCTCTTGGCATTAAAATAAGGCTTTCAAGATAGATCTACACTTGTTGATAATGCAATTTTTTAAGTAAAAAAAACCCAAAATGCACATCCCTAGGGGCAAAAGTTTAAAGCTAGTGCTTCGTCTTGCAGAACTTGTAATCCTACATGTATAATCTAGTCCATATTGGGATGTGAACTTTAAATCCTAAAGCAGGTAAAGTGTTAATGTTGCAAGATTGTCAAAATATTCTGGGCTGAGAGAAGAGCTTGGCTCAGACACAGTTCACTGAAGCAAGCACAAGTGTTTTCAGTGGGGGAAGGGGACCCAAGCAGGCTGTCCTGGGAGGTGATGGTGAGCAGTCAGAGCATTTGTGCTGCATTTGGAAGTTGGCTGCAGCCTGTTCTGTGGATGTGTGAGCTCTGGTATACCTGACATGTGTACAAAGAGCTGTACTAGCTGCTGGTGTGATTCATCCCACCTAAATGATGTATTTGAAAGTTAAGCACTTAAGACCAGTAAGATGAATCACCCTCACCCTTATTCAAGTCATCTTATGTGCCAGTCAATAAACATTGACTGGCACATAAGATGACATGAATAATTAACTTTTAGATGCCTAAGTTAGATGAGATTAACTTCATCTTGGCTAGAGAAACTTGTGTGGGACTGTGCCATGTGCTCAGGAGGCAGACGCATATTGATGCCTCTGTGGCACTTGTTTCCTGAGGAGTAGATTAAAAGAGGTGGTGATATATGCTTGTGCCTGCTGACATCCTGATGTCCTTGCTTGTACAGACACAGTTCATAGGGCAGGCTGAACTCTAAACACTGGCATTATAAAACCGGCAACACCAGTGTTTGCAAGAGTAACATTTTTTAATTCATTTGTCATATAAACTGGGTTCTTTTAAGAAATCACCTTGCATAGTAGTTCATACTCATGCCACAGCTTCTTGTTAGTGTGACAAACATAAAATGAAAGTGTTTAGAAGCTCACTGCCTTGTTGTTATTTTCCAGAGCCTAACATACAAATCAATATATAGTCTACAGGAAATGCAGTTTTTAAAACTATCACTTGGTTATTTCAGCTGCTGTTAGTGACAGAGGGGAGCACGTACACTTTATAGCAGGGAGCACAATACTGCTCATGGGGTGTTAAAGAAAAGTGAAAAATTGAGCCAGTAGGAAAAAAGAGTGAGCTAATGTAAATGTCAACATGATAGCACCCCTTAAACACTGTTTCATAGAAGGAATTTAATTTTTACAATGCTAAAATTTATTACTTGCTCAGTCCCATACTGGTCAGAGAATTCAGTCAGTCTGAAGTAAAGCATCTCTATCCTGATTCAATTTAAATACAGCTAGGTTTAATGGGATGTTTATAAGGAAGAGATAGAAAAGGATGGGTAAGCTTATCAAAGAAAGCATCTTCAGGGACTGATTTTTTTTTTTTTTTCCTTTTTAAATGACTGGACTTGACCAAAATCAGAAACAGTCTTTTATGTCCCAATGCCTCTTTAGGGACAACTAAGGCCAGTTTAGATCCACTGTGTGATCTACTTCAGGTTGTTCTGAACCATCATTTTACTTGGGGAGAATTTGCTTTTGCATGAGACCACCAGGAAGAGTGACTGGCAGCCTGGTACAGGCAGGAAAAATGATCTATCACCTTTGCTG